CCCACCCACCCACCCACCCACCCACCCACCCACTGGCCCCCCAACCCCAACCCCAACCCCAACCCCAACCCCAACCCCAACCCCAACCCCAACCCCAACCCCAACCCCCTATTGCAAACCCCAAACCCAAATTCCTACAACAATCTAAAAAAAAAAATATAAAAAATCGACTCTAACCTTAACTTGAATTGTTAAAAAAAATAGCAACCCTTATCCTAATATTAGCCAATATAATTTTTTTTATTATTCTTTAAAAATTATATTAAAATATTTATTATAACTAATTTATTAAATTTTTATATTTTAAATTTTTACTAATTATTTAATTTATAATAATCTTTTTTATTTACTTTTAATAATAATTTATTAAAATACATAAATTAAATATTATAATTTTTTTTTACTATTTATTTATAATTTTTTTTTCTTTAAATTATATTTATTTTAATAAATATTTTTTCTATTTATTTAATATATTTATTATATAATTTTATATTATTAATTTAAATCATATAAATTTATAATATGATTTTTTAAGAAATATTATAAAATGTCCATAAAGTATAACCATTTTTATTTAAATATAATATTATATTTACATATTTTGAAAAATACTTATTTTTAATTTATTTTTATTAAAATGCTTTATTTTTGTTATATTTAATAATTTGCTTTTAAAATGTTTTATTATCGATATTGCCTTAATTTTCTTATATTATTTGTAATATAGTTAGTTTTTTAAAGTAATATTCTTTATTTTTAAATAATTTATTTTCTTTTAATATTTTTTTTAAGATTATAACATAAAATTACTAATTATTTTTTTTTCTCTCCATTTTTTTTAATTTTATTCATGATATTTTTTTTCTATTCATGATACTTTTTTTCTAAATTTATAAAATAAATAATAAAAGATTCAATTAAAATATTTATGGAATAACTATATATATATTTTATTCTTTATAAATATAAAAAAAAGTATCAGATAAACATATAAAGAATGTTATTGAGAAAAAATGGATTTTAAATGGAGAGAAAAAAATATTTTAATAATTTTATATTAAATCTCAAAACTGCACATTTAAATAAATTTGGCTATTTAAAAGTAAAGCATATTTCTAATAAAAACTTTATTTTAAAATAAAATATTAAAAAATGATACAATACAATTATATAAAAAGAAAGTTTAAAAATATATAGACATTTTTTTTATTTATATAATTTGAATGATAAATAATAAATATCTTTGTAAATTATAAAAAAAACAAAAATATTTAAAATTAATTGAAATAAATATTAATAATAAATTAATTGAAAAATAATATAAGAAAATTATACACTTAAATTTATTTATTTGAATAATAAAAAACAAAATATTTATTATTTCTTACTTCAATATCTTTAATTTTATAATAATTAATAAATATGAATAAAAAAAAGCAAGAAGAGCAATACTATTATTATTTATAGAGACATTTTATTTTATAATTTTTATGCTTAATGGATGTATATTGTTACTTTAATATCAAAAATTATTATATTATTTTTAAAACATAATAATATAATAATTTAACAATATATTAATAAAATCATAAAAATAATAAATAATTATTGATTCAAACTAACTGAAGCAATATATCCATAATATCCTATAGTTCAAATTTTCACATTTTTATAAGAAATTTTTTTCGAAAATGTTTTAATTGATTAGCTATAATAATCAAGTTTAATTATTATTTTTATTTATGTAGCATATATATTTTAAATAAATTAGCATTAATAAAAATTTTATTAATGCAAATAGTTAAGTAAATCACTTTTCATTATTAAATTTTCGTTTATAACTTATAAATATTTAATTATATGGCGATTTTAAATATAAAGCTAAACCAAATAAAAGATGATCCATATTATTTTTAAGAGAATAAAAAAATATTATTATTAGATCTATGATTTTTTCTTTTTTATAGTAATTATTTATATTCTATTAGTATTGTTAAACCCTCATAATTATATAGAGTATTATTTGATATTAATATATCAATGCCTTAAATAATTGCAAATTAATATATTTAATGATGAACTTAATCCAAATAAATATAAACTGATTTCGAAAATTATAATTAGAATATATTTAATAATGCAATATATGTATACATAATTATTAGCATTTAATCTTGTATAAAACTTAGATTTATTTTAAAAGAAATTAATTCTTTCTAAAAAATTAGATTAAATTACTAAAATTATATTATTTCTTTCACTGCCTCTTTATATTAAATTATTATTTATAAAATAATTAAATAAATTTATTAGTTAAAAAGATTTGAATTTTAATTATTAAAATTTATATATCTTGCTTACTTCTTAGCTTATTAATTAATTTGATTTTATATTAATTTTTTAAATATAAATATTAAAAATTTGATAAAGTTATAGACCCAAATTATAGTTAATTATTTGATTCTTCATCTTTTAAGATATTGCTATTGTATTTGTTTAAATTATTTTATCTTTACGAATTATATTATTTATTTTAGGATGCAATATCTGTATAAAATTTTATTTTGAAGAGGATATATTTTCTTAAATTCAGTTGATTTTATTAATTATCTTCAATATTATTGATAATAAGATTTTATATTTAAAATATATTCCCAATTATTGAAATATTATTTTATTTACAGTTTTAAACGTACAAGGAAAATTTTATTTAAGATCTTTATTAAATTAAACTTTATTTTAAATTGTTTAATTTTTATGTTTTTTATAAATTGATTATTTTAAATATGAATAAAAATTTGATTTATTAATAATATAAAATTAAAAATACTTTAATTATTTTATTTAAATATCTAAAATAATTTAATTTATTAGTAATTTTAATTAAATGTTTATAATTTTGTTTTTTTATGACAAAAATTCCATTAAATATAAATATGAAAATTTTTTATTGTTTAAGAAATAATCAAAAAAAAAAAAAATTATTATATTGATATTTATATAATTATTATATAAAAATACTTTTTTAGTATAATTATAATTATTATGATATATTAATGTTATTATTTAGTTTTTCAAAATTAAATAAGATAATTAATTCATTAATTAAAAATATTTAATTTTTTTAATTATATTTATATATAAAAATCTATTTTATTATAAATTATATATATATATATATATATATATATATATATATTAAATTATTTTATTATTATTATTAATCAATTTATTTTTTATAAATTTATAATCCTTTTTATTTTATAATGATTAATTTTTTTAATGAAATTAACTCTTATTTAATAAATATAACATAATACATATTTTATTGAATTATTTAATTATAATTTTTACTTAATCAAGATTATTAAATTTAATTAAATATCATATATAAATTATATATAAAGCCTAAAATAATTTAAATTCTAATTTTTTTTAAATGTAATTATAAGAATTTTAGTTTAAGCTAAACAAATTAATTAAAGTCAATCAAGAGAAATAATATATAATAAGATAATTTATCTTAAAAATATTTGTATATTATATATTTTTAGATATTATAAATAAAAGATATTTAATTATATAATTTGTTTATAATAAAATAACATAAATATTATATTTAAAAACTATGAAAAGGACAAAACCAATTCATCCGTCATAATAGATACTATTAAAAAAATTAAATATGTAATATATACGTTTTCCTACATCTAAAATAGAATAAGGAACAGATGCAATGCATACCAATTGCGACTACTCAGCCGTATATATTAATTTAGTAACTTTAAATTTACAAGGTCCATCCCATGAATCTCCTATAGGAATCAGCATAATATTTACTATAGGGAAAGGTACAGAAACAATTTTAAAATGTCTAGAAGAATTAGAAGATTTATTCATAGGTTTAACTTTAGATTCAATTATAGATGATTTTTCTACTTTTTGGAACAAACTAACATGCGATCCCTAAATGAGATGGATAGGCCCAGAAAAAGGAGTTATACATATGGCAGTAGGAGGAGTAGTAAATGCAATATGGGATTTATGGTCTAAAATAGAAAGAAAACCTCTTTGGCAGCTTTTAGTAGATATGGAACCAGAAAAGCTAATAGATTGTTTAAACTTTTCCTATATAACAGATGTGTTGACTAAAAAAGAAGCTCTTGAAATCCTAAATAAGAATTAAAATAGTAAAAAGGAAAGAGTAGATTAATTAAAAAAACTTGGAGGTTATCCAGCTTATACAACAGCAGTTGGTTGGGCAGGATATTCAGACGAAAAAGTAATAGAAATGATAAAATTAAGTAAAAAATAAGGCTTCAATGCGTTTAAAGCAAAAGTGGGATGTGGTCTCGAGCGAGATCTTCATCGTTTAACTTTAATCAGAAATGAAATAGGAAAAGACTCTATTTTAATGACTGACGCTAATTAAGTTTGGAGTGTAGAATAGGCTATTTCTACTATGAAAAAGCTATCTCATTTAAATATTTTGTGGATTGAAGAACCTACAGCTCCTGATGATGCGGTTGGGCACAGTGAAATTGCGAAAGCATTAAATCCATTAGGAATTAAGGTTGCTACAGGAGAACATGCTCATAATAGAATTCTGCATAAATAATTAAATGTCCTTAACAGTTATTAATTTGTGTAAAGTGATTCTTGTAGAGTCGGAGGTTTAAATGAGCTTATTGTAATCTAGTTAATGGCGAAAAAATTCCATAAACCCGTGTGTCTACATGCAGGAGGAGTTGGATTATGTGAAATGGGTATTCATGCAGCTATTTTTGATTTCGTTGCTGTTTCAGCTTCTTTAGAATAGAGGTGGTTAGAGTATTCAGGGACTTTACATGAACATTTTATCCACCCAGTAAATATTAATGATGGTAAGTATATGCTTCCGTCAGCTATTGGATATGGTTTAGAAATGAAAACTGAATCTATTGCTTAATTTGTTTATCCTAACGGTTCCTATTGGTAAAGTGCTGTTGGATTAAGCAAATTCACACCTTTTAAAGGTATTATGGCAGCTACTTTTGCCCCCTTTAATACAGATGGAAGTAAATTAAATTTGGAAATTATACCTTAAATTGCAGATGATTTAGTTAAGTAAAAAGTTTGTGGAATATTTGTTAATGGAACATCTGGTGAATTCACATCTTTAACAGTTTATGAAAGAAAGTAAATTTTAGAAAAATGGTGTTAAACTAGAGAAGTTAATGAAGGGAAATTACATTTAATCGCCTAAATAGGAAGTAGCGTTTTTTCAGAATCTGTTGAACTTGCTTTGCATGCTTCTTAATTAAAAAATGTCCAAGCTATAGCTTTTATAGCTCCTAGTTATTTCAAACCAAAAAATATAGAAGAATTAGTTTCTTTAATAAGTTAGATTGCTAAAAAAGTGCCTTAAATGCCATTTTATTATTACCATTATCCAAATATGAATGGAGTAAACTTTGAAGTGAAAAAAACCCTTGATTTAACTAAAGAAATATGTCCAAATATTGTTGGAGTAAAATTTACAGATAGTAATTTTGCCGATTTAGGAAGATGCGCTTCTAGTGGGTATAATGTATTGGTAGGAGCTGATAATATGCTTTTTTCGGCTTTGGCGGCTGGAGCAGATGGTGCTATTGGAATTTCATATAATTTTACGGGAGTTTTACATAATTAAATTTATGAAAATTTTCTTTAAAATGATTTTTATGTATGCCACTAGCTATAAGAATAGAGTAGAGTTATTTTGGAAAAAATAAATTATTATGGAATCTATCCTTGCTCAAAATTTTTAATGAATTCAATTAGAGGTTTTGATCTTGGACCTTTAAGATGGCCTATTGGAAATCTAAATTAAGAATAGAAAAAAAATATATTGAATGAAAATACTTTTGAAATATTAAAATAATGAAATTTAAATAAAATATTATTTTACTTTGCGAAATTTAGTTTATTTATAAATTTTATATTTTTAAATTTAAAAAAAAATAGAATTTTAAATTTTTAACAAAAAAAAATAATTATTTTTTTATTTCATTCCTAAATTTTGTAAATTTAAATTTATCCTTGTTTGTATGTAAATCTTAAAAAAAAATTGTATAAAAAATACCTAATTTAATATATAAACGTAATAAATTTAAACATTTATATAGATATAAAAACAGATATTAGTGAAGAAATTAGTTAGATTTTAAGAAATGAAACAGAAAGACTAATATAATTTAACGAACAAAATACATTTTTTATAGAATGATAAATAAGCTTTTTCAAAAGTACACTATAAAAGGCTGAAATTTCTCATGAAATATAAATCAACAAGGAAATAATATTTTTGATAATATAAATTTTACTTAACTATAAATATATAATTTAAACTGAATATGGGAATTATTAAAAGCAATAAATTATTATTTTAAAAGGTTTCAAGACATTAAAAGCCAATGAAACTTAATTCTTATACAGCCGGAATAAAACTAATATAATAATAAACAAATTTTAGTCATTTTAGAGTTAATTTAAGAAAAGATAAATATATATTTATTTTAAGATTATAAAAAACTAAATAAAAATAAATTCAAAAATAATAATCTTTATTAGATTTAATTTAATATATTAGAGGATTTACATGAACTTTTATAATAATTGGATTTATTATAGTTTCGAATCTTGATATTAAACAAAAAATTATGAATGATTTTTTTCAGTTTAATACCTATATAAAGACATAGAATTAAAAGTATACATATAAAAATTATATTTATAATAAATTATATTATAATAAAATATTAAAATTTAAAAGAATAATTAAATTAAATATAAAAAAATAAAGATATAATATTAATTAATTTTAAGATATCAAATTAATAAGCTTTATATTAAAATAATTAAAAAAAATTTAATATAAAAATATTGTCATAAAGACAAATTATTTAAGTAATAAATAATAATTTTAAAATAATATTTTTAACCAGTGTCAGTAAATTTAACAATAAAATCTTTAATAATTAATATAAAAAACAAATACTTAAATAAAAAATCTAAATTTAAACTAAAATGGTATGAATATATTTTATATTATATATGAAATAAATATAATAATATAATTTGTAAATAAATAGATAAATAAATATTTAGATATTAATTTTATTATTAATAAGTATAAGAAATAAATAAGTTAAATATTTTTTTTTAAAATAAAGAGTAAGTTAACTTTTTTATTTTTTAGAAAAACCTTCAATTAATTTAAAATTCTAATCGTATAATATAAAAATAAATATATGAATTAAAAAGATATTAGGATTTTTAAATAATTAGATATTAAATATAAAAAATTATTTTTTTAATAATAATAATCTTAATAAAATTCAAAAAGCAAAAATTCAGTTAACTATAAATTATAATAAAAACTTTTGAATATTAAAAGTAAAGTTTTTTAAATCAAAAGAAATTTAAAACAAATATTAATTTCAAAGTTATACTATTTAATAGTTTTATAGATACTAATTTTAATTTATATTATTATTCAATCTAATTTTTATCTTTTAAGCATAAATTAATTGTATTGTTAAAATAATTATATCAAATTAAATTTAAACAAAATTTAGGTATATAACCCACTATTAATTCTTATTTTAATATTTTTAAAATGCTAGAAGCATTTAAAAGCTATTTTTTTAAAAGAATATAATCTTAATAATTTAAAGATTATCCTTTAAAATTTATAAATCATATTAAACATTAGAATTAGCTAAGAATAATATTTAAAAAATTTAACTCATATATTTGAATACTTTTCAAACATATAATTATTTAAAGTAAAATTTTAATTTTAATTTAGCTATATTATAATATATTTTGAATAATTATTTAAGCATATTTTATATTATTTATCAAGTATTTTTTATATTATTTAAATTATTAAATTTATTGGTTGAATATAATTTTTTTTCTTTTTTATTAAAATTACATTTCAAATAGCAAAATAATATTTTATAATTAACAAATATTTAGTATTTTATTCATAATATAACTTTAAAATATATTATTATAATTTTATATTCTGAAAAAAATATAAATATAAATATAAAATCAAATCAAATAATATTTATTAAATATAAATAAAATAAAAAATTTACATTATAACATAATTACTTTATTATTTATTTTTATTTTTTATATAATTTTAAATAATTAATTAAATATAATTAAATACTGTTATATTTATCAATATATTTAAGAATTTATTATATTTTTCTATGAAAAAAATTATAATAATTAATAAATAAAATTTAGAAGTTAAAAAATAATTATTTTCCTAATTATGAAAAAATTTAAAAAATTGTTTATGTAGATATGGTTATCTCAAATATAATAATATTATTTAAATTTTTTAATATATTTTAATTTATTTATTTATATAGATATTATTTATAAAAAAATATAATCTTATAATTAAATTAATTTAATATTATTATATTTTCTTTTTAATATTTGAAATTTTAATATAAATTTAGAAAAGCTTTAATCAATCCAAAATAAAAATAATTTTTTTTTATTTTTAAACATAAATTTATATTATAAAATATTAATATTTGCGAATATCCTATAAATATCTCGATTTTAATTTTAATAAAAATTTGCAAAATATAATAAATAATAAGTATATTAAATAAAAATTATTTTTAAATTAAATAATATTTTTAATATATATATTAATATTATATTAGCATTATTTTTAAATAAAAATTTAAAGTTATATAAATGGGATTTTCTTTAGGTGCCATATTTGAATGCATTATTTTATTTGTAAATGCTTTTGCTATTTTAGATGAAAAGAGATTTTTAAGGAAATGTATATAAATTAAAAAAATTATTTATTTAAAAAAATTAAAGTTGGATGGGATAGACCTGACCTATCCTAACAATAGTCAATAGAACAATAATAAGGGATCGGATAAATTAAATCATAATTAATATTTCTTTTATATACAGCAAGAACAATAGGAGTATGTAAGAAATACAATTATTTAATATTGTTTAACCCATTTATTATATTAAAATATTAATAGATATATTAATTCCATGTAATATTCTTTGCATTATAGGAGAAATACTTTTTGGATGAAGCAAAAACAATGTTTCATAAATTAAATTAACATTGTTATTTATTTTATTTTATTTTTATTTTATTTTTATTTTATTTTTACTTTTCCAAAGCATTTAAATTTTATTAATGCTAAATTTTCATCACAACATATGGTTATATTAACAATTTTAACTAAAAATAATTAAATCATATATATAATAATTAAAAATAAACTTTATATCTAGACATATCCAGTATTGCTAAATATAAAATTTTAAATTATATAATCAAAAAAAAATATATTATATAATATTTCCATATATTAAGGAGAAATTAAAAAATATTAAAAAATTTAAATAATTAAAATCTTTATTATATATATATATATATCTTTATTTAAAAGATATTAAAAATTATATATATATATTTTATTTAAATTTTCTCATTAATGGATATTATAATAAATAGTATAGTTTTTGTTATTGTAACAAAAGTTTTATTTAATTATATTAAATAAAAGTTGATAAAAGTTGATTTTTCTAACAAGGTAATGATCAATTAAATTAAAAAAATTACTTAAAATTAAATTAAAAAAATTATTTAAAATTAAAAATTCTTAGACAATATGGATTACTGGTGCTTCTTCTGGAATAGGAGAAGAACTAACAAAAGCTCTATCGTTTCTGAATGCAAATTTAATAATAACTTCAAGAAATAAAAATGAAGTAAATAAATTATTTTTAAATTAAAAAAATAAATAAAAAAGCTTGAAAGAGTAAAAAGTTAATGTAAAAATCCTGAAAAAGTAATAGTTTATCCTCTAGATATGAGTAAGACAACTGAAATATTGGAGAAATCATAAAGATTTATAGAAGACTTAGAAAAAAAGAATTAAAAATTAGACATAATAATTGAAAATGCAGGTCTTTCAATGCGTTGCGCTTTCGAAGAATATCCGTTTGAAAATCATGAATATATGACTAAAGTTAACTATGAAGGGCCTGTAATCCATACTAAAGTTGTTTTACCTCATTTTTTAAAAAATAAAAGGGGATAAATAGTATTAATTAATAGTGTTTCAGGTTTATTAGCCCCAGGATTGAGATCTAGCTATGCAGGTTCTAAGCATGCTTTAAAAGGATTTTTCGATAGCTTAAGGGTTGAGTTAAATGAATAAAATATTTAAATTACTTAAATTTATCCAGGATATGTTTAAACCAACATTTCTAAAAATGCTTTAATGGACAAACCAGGTTAAAGCTTGGGAAAAACTGATGGTAATATTGCTTAAGGATAGGATGTTAAAATATTTTGTTAAGAAGTTGTAAAATGTATTTATTGGAAAATACAAGATAAAGTTATTACATAAAAATTTATTCATAAATTGGGTGCTAAATTAAGATATATAATACCTGATTATATACACTAATCTATCTATAAAAATATAAAACAATAGATATAAGCATTTAATCAATCTAAATGATTTATTTTAAATATAATATATACTTTAATTATTTTTTATTTGATATTGCTTTTTTTTTATTAATTAATTTAGTTTATTATTTAAAATTTACAAATATTTTTTTAAAAAAATTAAAAAAAAAAATGGACAAGTGTCCAAAAAAATATTTCAATACAAAAGAACAATAAGTATATTATAAAAATGTAAAATTTTATAAAAAAAAAAAAAAAAAATTCTAAAGATAAATAAATAAGATTATAAATATATTGATATTTAAAATATAAAATAATGGAATCTAATAAGAAAACGTGTAAAATTGTTGCCATTGTAACAGTAAAGCTCGTAAAAAATAGATATTTCTTAATCTTTTTTTAGATTTTAACTTAATTAAATTGAAGGAATTAGTGATAATGCAATTTTAGTATAAATAAAAAATAAAAAATAAAAAAATAATTTTTTAAAAAGAAGCATGACCCGTAAAATTTAAAAATGCGTTTTAATTTTACCTTTTATAACAAATAAAAAAAATAATTTTTTGGTAGAACCTTATAAACTAAATCATACAGATTAGAATCCTCGTCTTTCTAAGGAATTTAGCTTAGTAAAATAAGTCCTTTCTCTCTTTTTTTTTATAGTTCAATAAACAAAAGTGAAGAAATTTACCTTATATTTGAAGTATATATCATAGAATTAGGAAAATAAGATAATGCACTTTTTTTACGTTTTTTAGGTAGTGGATTAATAAAAATTAATGAAACTAATTCAAATCTCTAATTTTGCTCTTTGAAGTATGGTAAAATAAAAAATTTCATTTCATTTTAATTTTAATTTTTTATTGAAAAAAAAGCAAACTCAAGAATGTATTTAAGTTATAATAATACACATGGATTCCCTTCCACAAACATTCGTGTTTCTTACTATTTAGAACTTTATTCAGATTTAAAAAAATACAAAGACCTATTTGAAGAAAACGCAATAATATCAAATGAAGATATTATTCCTGGAATAGTATTTGAGTTAGAAGATAATAAATTTAAATTAAATTAATAAAGGCATTTAAAATTATATCTTATAAATGCTAGAATTATTCTTTCAATTGAAGTAGAAAAGCATTTATTAAAATAAATATAATAGTTTATATCATGTAATAATTCTTAAAATACTTAGGTCATTTTTAATTATAAAAAGCTATAATGTGCATTTCATAATGGATATACTTTTACTAATTATTAAGGGATTTTAAATGGTGTAGTTTTAAGAGAAAATCAATAAAATAATAATAAAGATAAAATTTTCTTAGAATATTAAGGAAAACATGAAATAGATAATGTTTTTGATAATCCTTCGTCTGCTCTTATTTTATAACTAGAATATGAAGTGGAATTTACACTTTAATTTAAATAATCTTAATAGAAAATTATTGCTTGGGTTCCTGTAAATTTAGATGGAAAATGTATTAGTTAAAATAATATTTAAGTACATGAAATTATGATTAATGGTCCAGGGAAAAGCGCTAATGATTAATAATTAGTTTCTTTTCCAAAAAGCAAAAAATTTAATATTGAAATAATTTGCAATTTTTAAATTGAAAGACCAAATATCTATGAAAAAGAAGAAAAGAACAAAAAAAAATATAGCTAAAATATTTCAAATAATGAATTATAAAATTTACAAATATTAAATGATATAAATATAAAAGAAGAATATGAAAAAAAAATAAAAGAAATTGAATTAAAAAAGTAAGAATATATTTAATTATAAGAATATGAAAAAAAGTAAAGAGAAGAAAAAATTAAAAATGACCCATAGTTAATATAATTGCAAGAGGAATATAAATATTTATAGACATAATTTTAAAAATAATAATAATTGAAATTATAAGAATAATAAAATTTAAATTAATTATAATAATAATAATAATAATAATAATAATAATAATAATAATAAATATTATAATTACATCAATAAAAACATATAGAAACTGAATATTAATAAATAACATGGGAACCAAGAAATGAAACTGAGGCTAAAATAAAATAAATGTAAGTTTTAGAAGATTATCTTCAGAAAAAAATATAATTTTAAATGAAAGAAAATGATGAATTACTTCTTAGGCAAGCAAATAAATATAAAGAAATATAAATGCACATAAATGATTTAAAAAGAATAAATAAAAATTCAAATTATTCCTAATCTACTAATTCGAATTCTGATGAAGAAACATAATAAAATAGTTTTCAAAATCCCCAGTAATATATTTAAAATTCTTAAATTTAGTAAAGTCCTTTAATTAATTCTGGCTAATTAATAAATAAAAGTTAATAATAAAAAAATGAAGTAATTTGTGTATAATTATCACATTCATAATATTTTAATAGAAAATTATAGAATAAAGACTTACTATAAATTATAAATTATGGATTTTTAGATAATTTAAATAATATAAGGAATGAAGATAATAATGATGCTTATTAATGTATATTTGGTTCCGAAGTTACTTTTACTTTTTTATCATTTAAACCAGATTTAAGAGATTATAATAAAATTCCTAAATGTATGTATGCTAGATTTTATTTTTTTAATTTTCCTTTATTTTAAACTTAATGTTTTTCTTATAAACAATAAAATTAAGAAAATTTTGCAAAAATATATAGTGAAGAATAAGAAAACTAAGAGTATATTTCATTCAATTTTACAATAGATTAAAATAATTATTAGTAGTAAATGGATATTTATAAAATATTTAATTAATATTTATCTAATAATGAATTAAAAATTGATCTTTATGATGCAGACAGCAAAATATTTTACGGATTTTTTAAAATTTAATTATAGGAAATTAAACGAACTAATTAAAATAAATAATTAATTTTTAAAAATTGCAATATAATTGATTATACTTTTATGAAAATTAAAGGAATTATTTAAATTTAAATATAAAATAAATCTATAAAAGAGCAAAATAATTAATATAAAGTTACCAATTTAAATTAAAATGATTTAAAAAATAAAGCATTCTCTTTTGGTCCTTTGTAAATTTAGTCAGACTACTTACAAAATAATAAAAAATTTGACTTAAAATTAACTCATTAAGTAGAAAATAATGAAGAGTTTTAAAGAAAAATACAAAGAATAAAAAGATTTAGGAATTAATAATTAAATTAAGCTGTTGATGATCAAAACTTATTATTTAATAATAAAATAAATAAATTAGAAATAAATAAAAAATATATTAATAATATATAAGAAATTAAAGAATTAAAAAAAAATGAATTTATCTTTGATTTTCTTAATTTTTCTAAAGAAATTTGCATCCAAGCTTCTATTGGAAAATTAGAAATTATTCCTTTCAAAATCTAGAATTGCTTTGATAGACCATAAAGCTATTAAATAAAAATAAGTGAACAATAAAATAATTATTTTTCTTTGATTGAAAATGCATAAGAATGGAAATTTTTAGCAAATTAAAATAATTTTTAAAAGCCTTTTGATTTTAATATGATTTAAGATAAAGTCTTCATATTAGATGTAGGTGAAGAAGTAACACTTTTATTCAAATATTTATGTTTCGATGAAGAAAATTTAGATTAAATAAATGTAATTTTTTTAATTTTAATCTTTTTAAAATTAATTTAAATTTTTAAAAATATAGGAATAAAGAATTCATGTTTTAATTTAATCTAAAAAATTTAATGATGGATTTTTAGTAAAAATTAATTAATTTAGACACATAGTAAATAGTTGCTTTAAAATATTTGAAAAATAAAAGGCAGTTATTTAATATAAAATTCCTTGTTTTACAAAAAAATAATAAAACTAGTAAAATAAATATATATTTTTATAAATTATAAAATAATTATGATAATAATAATTGAAAGACCTGAATTATATTGTACAAACAACTAAATATAAGTAAATTGGTATGATGATTATCATATATAAATATAATCTATTATGCCTTAATGTTCTGAAATAAATAAGTTTTATATTCTAATATATATGTTGCCCTATTTTTAGGAGTTAAATTCTATTTGGTAAATTGAACTTCATTCATTAGATGGGTAATTTATTTTTATTTTAATTTTTTTTGTTGAAAATATAAAAAGCTTAGAAAAAAAAGTAAATTTTGGATTAAAAGAATCATTAAAATTTTTTATCCCAATCGATGTTCCTCGGGTTATAAAACTTTATAGCTCAAATGAATAATTATTATGGTTTGAGGGATAATATTAAAAAAATATACCTGTTTAACCAGGTCACTTATGTGAAATAGAAGGTATTGTTAGATCTTTGGAATAGGAAAAACAAAAAGTCCAAATAAACGCAGTAGATGCCTATTCTAGAGAACTTTTGTATTCGTGGGTTTTAAATATATAAACAAGTTTAGGGATAATTTCAAAAAAAATAAGTATAAAAGTACAAAATAAATAATAAATTTAAAAGTTCACATATTTTAATAATTCTGATTTTAATTTAATATTTAGATTTTTCTCTACAGATTTAAATGTTTTAAGAGTAATTTATTTTAAAAAAGTATTTTTAATTGATTAAAAAAAATTAGATAATTGACTAAGAAAAATATATTGAAGTTTAAAAAAAAAAAAGTAAAAATAATGTTGTTAAAATAATCTGACCAAATTAACGAATAACATATAATTGTATGTGTTACTAATAAAGAAGAAACTTTATTTGAAAGTATTGAGTTCAATATTCGTTATATACTTTAAGAAGAGAATTATTGCTAATAAATATAAAATCTAATATAAAATCAAAAAGATGAAATTGATGAATTAATTTTTACAAATTAATAATAATGATAAACAACCTTGATTTTTACAAAACAAAACATTATTTATAAAATATTTATTACTTTGTTTCAAATTTAATTATTTTTTTGAAAATGGAAATTGAATTTAAAATAGTGTTAACATAAAATAAATATTTTATTTGAATTAAAATAAAATTTTATTAAAAAAAATAAAAAAATAAAAAAAATATGTCAAACATAATATATAATATTTTTCTTTTTT